ATATCTCTAAAGTTGGCTACTTTTGAGTGTGTGTTAGGAGTCTATTTCATATAATAGTAGTGAATATTATTGTGTGAAAAGAAATAGCCCCAAATAAAATAAGAGTGTGTTTATCTCTTATTCATTATTTGGTTTATCCTTATTCAACCAGAAAACCACCACAAAACTCCCTTCTTTCTCTCCCAATTTCGTCCATCCCATTTCCCCCATTGAAACACTTCATCTCTTCATCAAAAACAACTCCATAATATTTCTTTTCTCCTGCCCTTCATTCTGCCATATCACCTTTTCCAAACAGCCATACTATCTTCACCATTTTATACTCAAATCTCATCATATATTCCCCTCTATAATCTGTCCTTATTTATCCATAGCCTTTTCCTAAGCTTGAGTACATCATTTGGTATGAGAGCTAGTTGTTAGTCATCTCTCAAGGACCATACACACTTCCCCAACTCCCTCCCTAAATTGGGCCTAACCACATTCAACCCCTACTCCAACTTCTGTCCTTTTCCTCAACCATGTCAAACCCATCCCGAAGCATGTCTCATGAAGAACTCGTAGCCGCAAACACTGCCTTGCAAGCTTAGGTGGAATACCTAGCCAAAGAAGTGGCTAAGCTCACGAAGCAAAAGATGTCCATGTTGCAAGATAGTGAAGATGAAGAGGAAGCTAGCTCTAGTAACACCATGAGAGCTAGGGCTCATGAAAAGTCCCATTCTGACTTCAAAGTTGATATTCCAATCTTTGAAGGAAAGAATGACCCGGATGAATTTCTTGAGTGGTTAGAGACAGTGGAACGAGTCTTTGATTTCAAAGAAGTCTTCGACGACAAGAAGGTCAAGATTGTAGCCTTAAAATTCCGCAAGTACGCCTCCACTTGGTGGACGAACACCTGCACCAAACGGATTCGAAGTGAGAAGCCTCCCGTTGACTCATGGCAAAATATGAGGAGTCTCTTGAAGAAGAAGTTCCTACCAACTGAATATTCCCGAGAGAACTTTGCTAAGCTTCAAACGCTTAGGCAAGGTACGAAGTCAGTGGAAGACTACACCCGTGAGTTCGAGGAACTCCTACTCAGGTGTGACTTGCAAGAGAACGAAGAGCAAACCTTTGTAAGGTACCTTTTTGGCCTAAATCTCCAAATAGCCAATACGGTGGAGCTGCAAGGCTATTCTACATTTGAAGAGCTCACTAAGTTGGCTCTCAAAGTTGAGCCTCAAATGAAGAAATCCAAAACCATTCTCTCAAGAAAACCTCCCCCTTACTCACGTCCCACATATACCCCCTTAAAACTCACCCCTACTGCCCACGGCCAAACCTTCAAACCCCAAACACCATCTAAGCCAAATCCTACTCCTCCCCCACCTAAAACAGCCCCTACAATCAACAAAAGAGCCCCCGTTTGTTACCGATGCCAAGGAACTGGTCACTATGCCAATGAGTGCCCAAACAAGAAAATAATGGCCTTGGTTGAGTATGATGATGAAGAGTACAATCCCGTATGGGATGAAGAAGTAGTCGAGGAGGAGGAAGAAGAATGTGGTGGCCCCGACGATGGTGAACTTTTGGTCATCCGAAGGACCTTAAGTGCCATACCATGCCCCGAGGAGCAACTACAACGGGAGAACATCTTTCATACCCGTTGTACCATTCAGAAGAAGGTGTGTTCGTTAATCATCAATAGCGGGAGCTGCTCTAAAGTGGCCTCCAAAACAGTGGTGGAAAAGCTACATTTGAAGGTA